CCGTGCAGTTTGGCTTCTCACCTGAGATTGGTCACATGCACTGAGATGACCAGAGGCTGCTTTAGAAAACATGCGGACCTCAGAAGAAGGTCTGCTCTGCCGAGAAAAGAAAAGAAGAAGTTTGACTCACCGAGCCTCCTCCAGCCTCTCAGGGAATCGCTGTGTAACTAGACAGTGATTCATTGGATGTGTGTTTGTGTGTGAGAGAGAGAGATAGTATAGTTGGAAACAAAAGAGAGAGAGAAAAACGGAGGAGAAAGCAAAAGAGTGATGACTCTGGCACTCTGCCTGTGGACCGCAGACTGTCAGCCATGTTCACACGTCTGTCCCCACCAGCTCCAAATGCGGAGGAGCTGCCCGCCAGGGATCGATATCCCACCCTGTCGGCCCCAGGAAGGCGCCCGGGGGCCCGTGCATGAACGGGCAAGACGCTGAGATCAGATCGTTGCAGAAGAAGGAAACAGGATGTTGGTTTTGTTGTCTTGTTACCGTCAAAACTAGATCACAGGCGCTAAAGTTGGGCTCCCATCTCCTCCCGTGTGGGAGGACGAGAATTACTAACCTTGGTTGCCTCTTAAACAAATCAAGCGCTCCTATTATTTTTTTTAATGGGCTGGAGTGATTGCTCAGTGATTGCATAAGCGTGATTAAACAAATTGTGCAGTTTTTAGCTTTAATATCATGCAAATTAAACCGTGCAAATAATTAGTTTTTTTTCACACAGCTACAATGAGGCTGTATATTTTTTTAAACATCTGGCGAACATGGAACAGGTGTTTTTAATTGAGCTGCACAGTTTTCTGCTGTGGATCCTGTGTGGAGCTGCCAGTCTTCCTCTTGAGGTGCAGATGCATATTTATAAAGGTCTGAAAAATTCATGTGTGCTGCCATAAATTCTAGTGTTTGTCGTGGCCTCATTTGAATAATTGAAGGTCTAGAAGTAGCCTCTCATTGTGAAATTAAAGAGATTTGGGTTTTTTTTGTTTCACTGAACAAATGCAGCATTGTGTGTGTCAAATGGTTGTATACGTGTGTGTGTGTGTGTGTGTGTGTGTGTGTGTGTGTGTGTGTGTGTGTGTGTGTGTGTTAGTTGTATGTGTTTTCTTCTCCCAGAACAGATCTTTTGTTCTTTTGGTCACAGTTGGCTTTTAGAAATTTGATGATGGGTAACCATGAACATTTCTATAATTCATTTAACCCTCATGTAAGAGCTAGTAAACAGTAAGACACCCATCCCGAGGTGTCCAAGGGGGCGGGACTAGACGGTGACGCCAATCACGGAAAGACTCTGTAGACCAGACTGTCTCATTTCAGTTCGGCCTTCATGGTCTATGTAGGCTGGGTAGACTGCGTCCTCAGAATTGAGACGGGGCTATTTTGTGTGACAGTTTTCTTACGGAGTCAACAAAGACGTGCACAAAATCAAATTACACAAAGCCTCTTTATCTAACTAGTGCAGAATGTGCCTGTTGGTCAGAGCTGATTTCTCAGCCTGTGTTAATCCAGCCTCATTGAGAGCATCAACCAAACAACTTCACACTTAACATTTGCTGCTGCTGCTGCTGCTCGGGCTGACGGCTCTGCTGCGGTCCAGTCGCTCTGATGTCTGGGTGAGAAAGTGCTGTCGCAGTTGAGTTCTGGATTTTTAAAACCCCAGCGTTTTAGTGCTGTAAATGTTCAGAACACTGCCCTCAGAGCATTGAAAAGTTTGAAGAACCACTCATCTAAAGAAACTTCACGGTCGAGTCATCGGCAGCACACTCCTCTGGTCTGAAGAGCATCAAATAAGCATTTGTCAGAGAAAATCTAAACGCAGGCTGCAAGATGTGCGAATAATATAAATAAATCCTGTTCGTGCTGCAGGGACACTGTAGGCAGTTGTCCACTTTACCAAATTGATGTCTTCTTTACTTGACTTTGACCTGTCTGACCTGTTGTCCATTAAAATGTGTAGGAGATGTTTCCTGTTGAGGACAATACAATGTTTTCTGCGCTGTTTTGTTATCTGACCTTCAGAAGTGAAAGCGAAAGCTGATTACCTGAGACATAAGTGGGCCATGTGTGCGTCTATGGGCAAACAGCATTGTAGGGAAGCATACTACTACTACTACTACTACTACTAATGATAATATATACTTATTTATATCTCGTGGTACATTAGGTGTATTGTATTGATCAGTGTTTGTGTCTCCGCTTGGTGCTTAACTTAACAATTCATGTTTATCTATGATAAATTGTTGATGTCCTTGGGTGTATAGAAAGACACAAGTAACAGCTAAAGCAAAAAGGTGTAAAAGTGATTTGGTAAAAGGAAGTTTTGAGAGATTGTTTAATGATATTTCAACCAAATAGCAAATATAAGTTTTCACTCTTTTACTTTTGAGTTTTCTGCTCGTCCTCCCACATTACTCTTTTCCCTCAGTTGTCACATTGCAAAGTTTGTGTGTGTGTCAGGAGTCTGATCACAACAGCACCATTATTGCCGGAGAAACTGGAGGACTCTGCACACTTGGAGCAGAAACACTCCCAGACTCAGAACTCTTTAATTGGACTTTTTCTGAACTCAAATTGAAAACGAGGCTCGACTGCAACCGATCTCATTCATCATTACCTGCAGCCGAATGGTGAAACACTGTGAAGATATTTTAAGTGGGATCATTTGCTCTCATTGTTGTGTTCTACTGGTCCTGCATGTATCGCACAGAAGACTAACTGTGGCATCAGGGCAGCTAAAGGGTACGAGTGTATTCGTCCTATCGTTATTCAAGAGAGCGGCCTTTCAGTTCTAGAGCTGAACTTATTGATTTCATGCTCACTTTTTGTAATGCTCTCACTCTAAATTAGGGATGCACCAATCGGATATTAGTAACGGATATTGACTAAATAGCTAGATCGGGTTTCGGACAATTGTACCTCGGTTGTACGGAGGTATTTCACGCATGCTACGTCAAACAGCTTCCAAGGCTTCTTGTCATATCTGCAAAGGAAATGTTGCAAAAGGTTTGTTTGTTGTTAACCCTCAAACCAGAGAGCAGACATTTCACGTGCACACAGAAGCAGCGTGAGAGCGAGGAGAAGAGCTGAAGCAGGATATATGCAGGGTATATTCTGGATATCAGTCCATGTCTGAAGCTAAATGAAAGACCATAATGTTGAATGAGGGAAAGAAAACTGGTTAGCGTAGATGCTCAGTGTGAGTTGGACATCACAGGGTTCATGAATGAGCTTTCAGTCTCTGGGCTTTCAGCACCACGGACAGCTCCTTTCTCTCTCTCTCTCTCTCTCTCTCTCTCTCCACCTCTCAGTCTTTCTGTCTGTCGCACGCCCCTTCTCCACTTTAGCCGTGGGGCAGAGTGACGCCCGCTCCCGACTAAGTGTTTGCTCCGCCTGAGTTAACAGTGACTCTACCCGGAGGATCCCTGCGGTCAGCGATGCCTGCTCCTGCCGCTCCCCTCTGTCTGCACGGCTCAGCTCAGGTTCCAGTACGAGGGCTGTTGTCACTGTCGGTATTTTAGCTTTTCACTCAAGTGGCCTCTTTGGGAATTAAAGAAAAGGTCCTCTCCGTCCTTTTCCCCTTATTGTACTTTCTTCCGTCTTGTTTGGGGGCTGATCAGATATCGCCCCCGTGCACTGAAACTGAAATTGGCATGGAGGCTTTATTTTAAGCTGTCATGATTGTTTTGATCTTTAAAAATTTAATTGGCTTATTCTGGCTGCAAGTCGCTAACAGTCTGAAAAACGCTGCCAGATTTCACTGTGTCAGTTGTTTGTCATTTCATTTCCATGTTGTCGCCATTTGACTGGTGAATCAGCGAGACGAATGTTGTAGCAGTGGGACTGGAGCCCGGCCAGGCCGAGACTGGGAAGGCTGGCTCATACGTCAAGTAGTCACTCCGTAATTTGATCCGTCCATGTGCAAATGCTTGTTCCCAGAGGGGAGATGATGGCAGCACGTGAAAGTGAAGAAGGAGAAGATGGAGCATGCTTGTGTTTTTTAAACACGCCATTAAATTTTACTACAGAAATACTGCCTGATCATGTTTCATTACTGTGTGTGTGTGTGTGTGAGTGTGTGTGTGTGGGTGTCAGCTGTTTGTGTCCAGGATGGAATTCTGGATGTTGTGCTTGTAAACAGCAGAAGTGACGTCCCTGTTTAAAGTTCACTGATAACTGAAAGTCAAATTGAGTCACTTCTTTAATGAAAATCAGAAATAAATCCCAGGGCCGTTCCATTGTCACTAAACTTGGAATCATTTCCCAAAAGCGTCGTCACCTTTAACATTTTTATTTTCCATAATTTATTTTCCCCATTTATTCCTGTATCTTTTAGCCTGATTGCTGTGTTTTAGCATTTTGATTAGTCACTGCTTGTAATTATACATAAAAGTTATATATAAAGTCACACTGACAATTAAAGCAGCTATTTTAATATTTTTATGTTCAGAACGGATCAGATAACTTCCATGTAACATTATGAGGCGACTTTTTAGCTCCTTATTTTGGTTTTACAGCTCATAACTTTATCAAACACCTAAATCCTTGAATTTGAACATAAATCTCACACTGTCACAAAAAGAAATCACACAGTTTATCACTTTTGAAAGATGAATCTGTTGCTGCTTCAAAGATCATATGTTTATTTGACTTTTTATCACATTTCAATATGAAGATACTTCACATTAGAGAACACTGAGGTCTTTCGTTAATCTCTCTCTGCCTTCACAATAAGTTTGTGCCTCGTATTATTCACCATCTTCAGCTTTGTGCTTTATTTCCTGTTTGAGTGAGAACTTCTCTTTCTTTATCATCTCAACCATTCCCACTGTTTTCATGTCTCTCTTATTTTTATTAGCTTTTTCTACGATTCAGTTATCTGCAAAAATCCCTCGGAAAAAAAAGGCTCCATGGTTAAAATTAATAAACCTCACATTTCCTGATCTGTTTCTTCCATCTTTTCCTTTTTCAGTCTAAATCATATTTTTGTTCTCTCGACATTGCAGGTCACTATTCACCCTGGAAGACCCCTAAGCAGGTAACATGCATCAGCTTCCAAAATCTGGACCGTCCCCAGCTTTTGAAGCATCAATATAGATTTTAGTGGCAGCAGCTTTAATCACATCGACGCTTCTACTCTGTATAAAATTACTTTTCTGTCCCTCCTTCGTCGTACTAACTCTACTGATGATTCACTCCATGTCCGTGGCTTTTATAACAACCAGCCCTTGATATCTGTGCGTCCTTTATTGCTATGAGATGGCAGAAAGGTCAAGTAGCACACTCATAACACCACAAGACTCCTGATCCCGCTCGTCAGACTTAATTCATAGCCTGACTCGGTGCCATCAGGGTTATCCACACTCACCATGTTTGAATTATGCCACATCTATAGAGCTACTGTCTGTCTGTGATGTGAGAGCTGCACATAGTTGCTTTTATAACCTTCATTTCACAACATGTTTCACACTGAAAGCGTTTTATACCTTACATTTCCTTCCTGGTCATTTATCTTTCCTTTCACCTTTATTTCCCTTTATCACATTAAAGTAAAACCACTCTTGCAGCTTCCTGTGCCGCTACAAACACATTCCCGTAGTATCATGCTCTCCTGAGGCTCAGTAACAACTCTGCCCACCAAACACCCTCTTAGATCAGATTCACTCTTCACATTAGTTACACTCACACACCCACACATGAGTGTTTCTGCCCATCTTTCTTTGTTTCTCTTTGTGCAACTTTGTGTGTAATCCATTTCATGCCTGGACGTCCTGCCAGCGCTGCCCTGACCAGACCCTGACCCCGGATCCTGTTGTCCCCCATTCCAGATGTCACCAACAGCACAGAAACAAACCTCCATTGTGCAGCTTTAAAGTCGCCCCCTTGGAATCTCCTCATTGTTCATCATTTCTCCTCCCTCTCAATTTAATCAATCCCCTGCATCTCCCTCAGAATAATTGTATTTCTGAGCTCTGAGGGAAAAGCTTTGAACATCACAATGCAGCAGTCAGCGTGCAGAGCCTCCCCTCACTCTCTTTTTACCCCCTAGTGGTAATTTGTTGCCGCCCTGCCCCTTTCCCCGAGCTGCTCCCCCCGTACACACACACACAGAGTTCAGCCTCAGTTTAATTGGATATCATTTGTTACAGGAAGACTTCCACAGCTAGGAGAAGGAAATATGGAGGAAACTCGACTAATAAGGGAAGAACAGGGAATTGATATAATTGTCATATCAATCTGCAGCCGAGTGCAGCCCAGAGCTACTCAGAGTTTCAGTTGCAAATGAGCTCATCAGCGTTTGTCTGTCAGATTCAGCCGATACTGTAGGTGACGCCTTCTTAACGTTGGAGCACATCTTTAAAATGTGACCCGCCTACAGATAAGCCGGAGAATTGGGTCCGGACTTTATCCGCAGTTTGTCTTTTACACATTAAACAAGTCGGGAGCTTCTTTGCACCGACGCGTTCACAACAGCAACAAATCCTCCGAAGGATTCAGGAAGTAACATATTAATTCCGCTGCAGAGATCACATGATTTTGTTTACAGCACATCGACACCGGCTCTTATCACTAGCTCTCCTGACATCCTCGTCTGGAGACCCCCCCCACCCCGCCTCTCGCTTGAGGTGAAACCAGCACAGGATCCCCTGCTGTGTTCTCACATCGGATCGCAGACTTTATGTGGACTTTGTTCTGTTATATCCAGGTGGAGAAAGTCCTAATCCGGAGGCTGCTTTCACACCTTCACCTCCTCCAGAGTTCGGTGCATGTCTGAACGTAGCTCTGGTGTGTACTTGTCTTTAAAAGTCGTAAACAAACAGACATAAAAGAGACAGAGAGAGTGTAAGAGAGATGAGGATGCAGTCGTCTAATCTCAGCCATAACAAGGTCTCCAGTCTCTGGCCCCGTGCAGACGTGCTTCACATCAATGGCTCGACTCAAACCATAACGAATGGGAGCACTTTTGATTCTGGCCCGGAGCTTTTATGGAGCCGATATTTATTCTCAGTACATCTTGAACCAGATGCCCTCGTAATTCTTGATATTAAAGTGTGCCATATGCAGCCGGTCTCTTGACTCAGTTTCAAACAGCTTATCGCTCCCTCCGGATCCATCTCTCACAGTTCCTGACGTGTCCCTGTGTCATCTCGTCGTGCCGTGACTCAAGCGCCGCGGCTTATCTGACACATCAAGGCTGACACTCTGACTGACTGGTGTTGTCAAAACTGATGCTGTCACCACAAATACATGACAGCATATTGATACATGTTGTGTTTTGGAAGCAAATTTGGCCAAAATACACGATATATCACCTCATGAGTCAATAAGATGTTAATTTAGCGAATATATTAAACTCCCCTCCAACATCCTTCTATGTTTTCTTCATCATTTCCTTGTTGATAAAATGTCAAAATAAAAGCTTTGATTTGTTCAGCTTGTTTCACCCACTAACCTCACTAACTGTCTGGCTTCCTGTCTGTCCAGCTAGAATTGACCGTTCACTAAACTCCGTCCCGGCCAGTGATTGTCCAGTTGTAGCTCAGTAGCCATAACTGGGCATGACAGACCTGTCAAGTTTTGTGTTTCTCTACACGGGCGAAAACCTTCTAAAGAGTTCAGAATGTGGTGTCTTCTTCTTCAGCATCTTTTCTGAACCCAGAAAACGCAGGAGCAAGACCGTAAAGTCTGGATTAAACTGTTTACCTGCTTTAAAACAGGCTGCAAACATTGATTCAACATTGATTTGAAGGCAAAACACGTCTCTGGCTAATGAGGAGTTACAAGTTGTCCTTTAATAGTTTTGGAAATTTTATCGTCTAACAACATTAGCAAGATAGTGTCACATTAGCCAAACAGATTGATTTCAGCTTATCCTTAAATCCTGAAGAGTCCTAACTAGCTTAACTCTGAAAGTACAAAAACAATGGATCCTACACGGATCATGAGCTGATGAGAAGCTTCACTTGCTTTGTCAAACTTTTAGTCTGATAAAATCGGTGGTTTTTGGTTTTAAATAAGCAGCATTGTCTCAAACCAGAACCTGATGTGTCCAAAATGAATTTCAGGTGTTAAATCATCAGAACTCTCGTTGTTTGAGAACAGAAAACTTGACCGGCACAGCAACAGAGGCTACGGGTTCAGCAAACGGTCAAATATCATTAAAGCAAACCCTCCTTCAGTTCTGTTTCATGGTCATCAAGCTAACGGAGCATCGGGAGCGGGAGATACTGACCCCTCATGCTGCTGTGCTTTACAGGTGCTGGAGCAGTGGGAGTCCCAGCAGGGCCAGAGCAGCCCCGCTCAGACCAGCTTGTCGGCCCCCGTTATCCCCCACAGCGCCCCCTTCCCAACACACCATCTTCACAGGGCCTCGGTCCCAGACTCAGCCTCCGAGGCCTTGGCCCTGGCTAAACCAGACCCCTATGACCTTTATGAGAAGTCCAGGTCTATCTTTGAGAGTAGGCGTAAGTACCTGAGCTGATGCCGCAGGTGAAGCATTGTGGGTAAAAAAAAAAAACACACAGAAGAGAATAATCAAAAGTTCAAAATGTCTTTTATTTGTCTTTCTATCAGAGATCTGATTTTCATCACAAACATTTTAAATAATCATCAGATTAGCCCCATTAGCATTTGCGGCTACTTGTCCTTGTGTTATCTCTTTTGATCCTCGTCCATTAAACGCCCTGGAAAACCAACTCGCACACAAACAAAACAGCACATTCACCAACGGTCTCTTTATTGACTGGTGGGATCTTTATGTCGACGCACTGACATCCTGCCACTTCGCACCATAAACACAGGATGAGTAAACCCTCCTCTCGCCAGCTGAGCGTTTTATTTCTGGGACATAATGTTTCGGTGCCAGCGATATTACCTCCCATCCATTTGTTAAGAAAGACTTTTTTTTTTTTTCTTGGGAGGACATTATCATCAGGATGCATCATTACTCTTCCCACAACACTGCGGAAATTTTATCGGGGGGTTTTCTCTGCGTGTGTGTGTGTAGGTGCCTGGCTGTTGTTAGGATTTTAGAAATACCGAGGTTATAAGTCAAACTCAGCACAATCTTTTACTCTTTTATCTGCTGATCTATAACATTGACTGTATGAAGATGGACAACGTGAGAGCCCCTGGTGGCTGGCTGGTGTAGGTCACAAACCCTGACATGTTGTGCAAACTCACTCTGATTATGTTGATTCAGACTGAAAGGAAACGGTTGCTGTAGAGATCTGCTCCTGTTTTGATTGAAAGCTCGACCTCGATGTGAGGTTATGTTCTCGACGTAATTTGTTGCCCTTCAAAACAAATCCATCAGAGTATTACCTTGACTTGATTACTACAATAACAATGTTCCCTGTCATTAGTTTTGAATATTTGCCCGGGTAACATCCTGTTTTTACCAGCTCGATCTCTGTAGGAAGCACTGAATGTGGTTTCTGTGGTAACAGCTGCGTCACTGCGCCCGTCTGGAGTCATGATATCATTTTCTCCCATCATCCCTGCTGAGTCCCTGCAGAGCGCTCGCTGTGATTAAAACAGTTGGAATTGGAATCAATTTTTCATTCGCAGCCACTTGTCTTCGGTCGACTTCATTTTGCTACTTTGCAGATCATGTTGTTGTGTGAAGCCCCTGATTGCAGATTAGTGCTTGCATCCCACCTCACGCTGTAAATAAAGAAGCGGTATATTACACGCTGTAAGCACTTCCTGACATTTATGGATGATGCTGAAATTCTGCGGTGACATTAATGCTGAGACGCTGCCTTTTCCGTCTTGTTCTAGTCTTTGTGGAAGTTTTTGTTCTCTTCGAATGCGTGTCCCTGTGTATGAGCAACATTTGTGCATCTGTTATTGTTTATTGGTGCTTTGTGCATTTTTTTTCTTCCTGTGTAGAACCCGGCCAACCGAGGACTGCTTTCCCTGTAGACTTGACAGGTAAAAATCTGATCCCTGCATGGACACTGCTGGAAAACAAACTCTACCCGTTGTAAGCTAACAGGATTTTGTTTGTCGTCTGCGGTTGTTTTACTTCAGGAGCGGAGTACCAGGACATCGAGGTCCACCTGCGCAGACAGAAATCTGGGTTTGGGTTCCGGGTGCTTGGCGGAGATGAGGCCGGGCAGCCTGTGAGTCCGGAGACGCGTGAGAAGGCTCGTATGGCGATGGGCGTGGAACCCTGTCATTTTCTCCTCTCTAACCCACTACACACACACTGTGTTCACCTAACCCCTGACCTCTGACCTCTGACCCCCCCCCTCCCCGAGAGAGTGGTGGCTCTGGCTGCGTCTGTTGTCTGTCACAGTAACAAAACGATATAAGCTAATTATTTATCACTGTAACAACCAAGTTAACACCCACTGCATGTGACACTGAAACACTCAAGTCCAGCATCTAAACCCGTCGGGCCTCTACTTCCTATTTGTAACAGTTTACGTTTTTTTTTCCAATAGATCTTGATCGGGGCGATCATCGAGAAGAGTCCGGCAGATCTAGACGGGCGCTTACGGCCTGGTGATGAGCTGCTGTTCGTGGACGGGATCCCGGTGGTGGGGAAACCTCACAGATACGTCATTGACCTGATGCACGGGGCGGCACGAAACGGTCAGGTCAGCCTGGTCATCAGGAGGAGAGTACAGGCGGCAGGTGAGAAATCATGGATGGAGACAGGAGGGTTTAAGCTTTGGTGAATTTGATTACCTCAAGTGGAGTGCGGTCATGTCTTGTCTTGATGTTTGTGCTTTCGTGTTACGCGGAGGAGACTGAGTGCTCAGTGAAGGGACTTCCCTGCAGCCCACCTCAAAGTGTTTGCAGCGGGCGACCAGCTCTAAATTTAGATTTCCCTCGCTTGCGCTTCAGGGCCTCCTGTGAACGCTTTTCCCAGGGAACAGTGAGTTCCAACATGACAACTTAAATAAAACTGTGATTTAAAATAAATCTGGGGGTTGTCGCTGGTGAGGTCAACATGTGGCATGAACGCTGGTGGTAGATATTTTTCTTTTCGTTCCCAAAATTCAATGAAAAGACCAAAACAAACAATGTGTGTTGCCATAAGCCTCAGTTAGATTCTTCATGGAGCTCAACCCACACTGCTGCACTGTGACATGATGCACGTGGGCTCTGCATCGTCCTGCTGCTGTAAATACACACTGCAGGTTTTTTATGAGATTTCTCAACCGTGCTCGGTCACTGAAAACATCTTTGGAAGGACACGGTTAATTCTTCACTCATCAGCTTTAAGAGTTGAATTGATATCACAGGCTGCTCACATCCCTGTTCGTCCCGTCTGGTTTCTCTCTCACCGCCACAGTTCAGTCCTGTAATGATTAATAAAACAGGATTTAATCAGAAAACTGAAGCAGTCATTTTGCATTCATTGAACTGAAGCCTCACCGAAAACTCTCCATCGCTCCTTCTTGTTTCTTCTACAAGCTCATTCGCCTTTGAGTCTGCACACTGGGATGACACTTCCTCCTGTGAACTCCAGCCCCCTGCATCCTCATTATTACCTCACACACACACACACACACACACACACACACACGCACACAAATGCATGCTCTGTTCTCACCAATCCACTTCTTCCCACTCTCTTTCGCCTTCTCTGTCAATTTCTGCTCACCAAAGGCTACTGTCTGACTCATGCCTGGCCTCTTCGTGGCCTTTACTTCCGTCCTAATTGTCTGGCTCCCACTGGCACTTTGCGAGGCGTCGGACTTCGCTCTCTGCTCTGAGCTCACACTTCCTCCTGCACCCAGCGCCCCACATTTCACAAATCATACTCTCTCTCTTTTTTTCCAGACTGTTTTCTCCCGTCATAAAATTACTGTTCATGTCAGTCATCGGTGTGAAGATGTCCTACGCGTCTTCATTTCATTAAACTGAATTTACAGTTTACATTTCCAACTGTTAAACTGCAGCAAATCGCAGCTCTGCCTCTCAGTGAGCCTTCAAAACAGCAACATGAGGTTTGATCTAGAAGCTGCTCTCACCCTGGATTGTCACCGTGCTGCATTTTAATGATGTGTGTTTTTATACCGAGGGGCGACTTTACTTTTTTTGTTGCGCTCTCCTGTGTTGTGTGTTTGCTTCTCGATTCTTCTCAAGACGATGAGACTCAGCTCCAGCTCGTCCAGTTTTAGAGAATCTGAGAAGAAGAAAAAGCTCCCGCCTGTCAAATGAATTGTTTTCCTTGCACATTAAAAATTAGCTTTGGATTCTACTGAAGAAAAACCTATCTTACCACGTCTCCCTTCCTCTGGATGATTGCTGGGCCTGAGTTCTTATCCCACCTACCCCCCCCCCTCCAGGTGAGCCCTGCCCGGAGAACGGCCGCAGCCCGGGCTCGGTCTCCACGCAGCACAGCTCCCCTCGCAGCGACTTCACGTACGGCAACAGCACCTGCACCAACCCGGCGCCCAACACCTGCACGGGCAACGTGGCATCTTCAGACGGGACGTCGACTCCCAACGCCCAACCCAGTGACGTCATCATCAACAGAAAGGAGAGCGAGGGCTTCGGCTTCGTCATCATCAGCTCGCTCAACCGGCCCGAGGCGGCCGCCGCTAACAGTGAGTCCTGTGATTGTTTCAGTGGGTTTTGATCAGTCATCATCTCTTCACTGTTTAACATCTGCCTCAAGGGCTAAACCTCACGTGAACCCTCTCAGACACATCTAAGATGACAAGCAGTCTATATATAGTGTCAGGATACATTTCAGTATGAGAAGAGGTCACGACTCATTAAAAAGTGAAGCACCTCTATTTTATCTCCTGAATTATACACACCCGCCCACGACACGTCAGTCACACACATCTCTGCTGCTGCTGAGCATCAGTGCATCGCCCACACGCAGGAGAAAAAAAAAACCCAGGATGCCTTACATAAGCCTGGGGTGAATCGTAAAACCAGAGAGACAGAGACATATTCAGTCAGTCAGGGAGCGAGCGCTGTGTGAGCGCACACAAGTGTAATCCGCCAATCTGCTGCAGAGCGCGTCCTCACCTGCGGCGTTTGATTCCCCCCCCCCGACAGCTGTGCCCCACAAAATCGGCCGCATCATCGAGGGAAGCCCGGCCGACCGCTGCGGGAAGCTGAAGGTGGGAGACAGGATACTGGCGGTGAACAGCCAGTCCATCGTCAACATGCCCCACGCCGACATCGTCAAGCTGATCAAGGATGCAGGCCTCAGCGTCACCCTGAGGATCATACCG